AATAATTTTATTTTTTATTTATAAATATATAATAATGGCGGAGATGATAAACACTAACGTAAATGCGTACGCTACTGTCTTTTAGACTGACCGTTAAACAAACATATCAAATTTTATGTAGATATAAACGTGTTAATTTACGTCATCTATTTTCACATACTACACATTAAAAAAAAAAACATTAACGAACATTTACATAAATAAAGATAAAAATAGTATCAATAAATTAAAAGATATAAATAGAAAATGAAAGAGTACGACATCGCTCCCGGGTTAATTATTTATGTACATTCAATGCATTCCAATATATTTACATCTACTTTCTCTACTGAAATAGGCGCTTAGTAGCGGAGTGATTGAAAGACATGGGTCGTCAGAGTCGTAACGAACCCTTTAAAGGGCTACAAATGGAAAAGTTAGCGTTCTAGTGAATTTTTCGTGATTCATAATAACTTCGGACCCTCGGTCTCTCACTTGACAACTCTCCCTTCAAGGACACCAACCATACGACCCTCGTCGTGCGAGTCTCATTCTTCCTTTATGCATGTGCGATGATGAAAGCGAACACAAAATATTTCTAAGCGCGTATGTGTGCTGTTTTTTATCCAGCCCTATATCACTTGTCATAGAAAAAGCCAAAAGTTTCTCAAGCAGAGGGGGTATTTACCTTCGGCGAAAACATATAGACCGATTACACGACGGGATATATAAACAACATTGTTAGGTAGAATATGGTTCAATTAAAAAAAAATCTTAAGTGCTTTTGAAACCACGGTTATCTTTCGAAACTTCTAAACAAACATTTTTGCAATAAGTTATATTCAATAAGATCAATATTTTTCACTCATAATTTTTCAATCGTTTAGATTATAATTACAAAAATAACAATAAAATCAATTCAATATAATATATTGTAGGATCGTATATATGTGATAACACAAACTATAAAAATCAATTAAACGGTCTAACTGGAATTTAAGTGTGAATTTATATACTACGTATGTACCTTTGAAACTCGCGCCAAAATGATTTTTCGGTCTTGAGACGCTAAACTATCTACTATCGCATAAATGTTCCGCAATAAAATATTCCGCAATGGATTTAATTGCAGCTAATAAGTTGACAATAATACTTCGATTATACGGGAAAAAATCAATCATTTTCTACGATCGTATATTTCTCACCTACAAGTAAACACACCGGCTTCTTCGTAATTGCGTAATATTCAACATAACACGAATCAATGCCGATCTCGGCTCAACTTGACTTGTAGAAGATTCCGCTACAGGGGTACAGTAAATTAAAACGATAAAATAGAACGACAACAGGCGCCAGCGAGGTGGCCTCTCCAGGATACTCAGTGCGAGCGGGAGAATTACAACGACAATCATAATGATCGGATCGAGCTGTGCAACATAGTTGCGTCACCAGGAAGACGAGCAAGCGAGCGAACGCGCGAATGCGCGAGCGATAGGCGTCAACACAGTGGCGAACGGTAAAGTGGGGATCAGCTACGACCTTGGCCTCCACTCTAGCGAGACCGTTCCTCTATCGCCGTCTGTATTGGTTGTTTGGCAATGTCAGTCGAGGGTCACGAAAATATTGCGCACCGTCCAAGACAGACGACGACGGTTTTCTGTCAGGAGAAAGAGAAGGGAAGGGAAGAGAAGGGAAGGAAAGGGAAGGGAAACGCTCATTTGCATTATGCAATGCGCTATTCGACTTGTAAGTCTGTTATCAGACAACTACATATTGCTGTTTATCGAGATCGGTTTAATCCCCTCATTTTTCAAATGTAGAATCATGAGATAATTTTTGCAAAGATAAGTTCGGAATGTAATAAACAATTTTGGCATTATACTGATTCCGCGACTCGGAACGGCAACTGTTATTCTCTCATTTATATTTCATTTGTCAACACGAATTGAAGAACCACTGTGATCCGATTTTTTATTTGTTAACTTGTGGTTAACTTGTGGTTAGATTTAATCCGATGATAACGTAAAAATTGTATTTTTTTTTCTATGATTAATTACTAATACTTTTATAATAAATAAACTTTTAAAGTTACTACAAAACTATTATAGTTTAATGATTAATTACAGCTAGAAAACCACAATTTGTACATTATCATCAATGTTAAGTGAGAATACGTCTAAACCACAAGTTACTCAGATAATAGATCAGGTCTGTAAGTAATTTTAGAACAGAAAAAAAAACTAACGTCTTCACGCGAAACTGTGTATATAAAGCTAAATTAATAATTGGTTGAATTACGACAAAAGTATAATTATATTATACAATTATTAATTATATCTTACGTGTCCGAATAAAGATTATATTATTTCAAAATACGATTACGATCTGGAAAACATATGTTACGAAAATATTAAGTTCATTCTTCGTCGCTCACGTAACCGTTGGCGCCAGACGTTATATATGTAATTTTACCAACAGTCACAACAAAGTAGTAAATAGCACGTTTGAGTTAAGTATAATCTATTTTTACATATCACGCACGATAAATGTTTACACATACATTAAAAAATCATCCAAATATACATATATTATTCACTGCCCACGATTATTCGGTTATCGCATTTCGCATCAACCAACGTTTCCTCCTCCCCCCCCCCCCCCCCCCCCGAAATACCGCATCGTCACGGTATTTGAGCTCCTCGTTAGATCCGATGATAGAATTTACATCGGTAGGTCGCACGATGACTAACACGCCGTTATGTAACGTGTTGTTATGAAAACTTAAGTTGCGACAGGCGCGTAGCTTCGCGCGCGAGCGCACATAACGTTTCGCACGAAGTAAATAGCGCTGTTTACATCGCATTACCGAGATTAGTCGACAATGTAGAGGAGAGCCGATAAACGCGAAGAACGCGCCGCGGCGCCGCTCCTTTTTTGCGCCGCGCTCGCAACACACGTTGAAAATACACGTGAGTTAGTCGCGCGAGTCGCCCGCGGACATTATTATCAATGCATACCACAATCATTGGCATAGTGCGCCTTTTCTAAAGTCAAGCTGAATAAAACAAATTGTAAAAATTATTGAAAAGTCGGAAAAGTCGGAGAGAGAGAGAGAGAGAGAGAATTTTTTGTGTTTCTTTTTGTGTCTGGTAAAAATGTTCCTTCCTGCATTCTAATCGGCGAACCGAGGACTATACATTCCATGCCAACAGTTACTGAGCATCGAACTAAAGTCGAACTAAATTCACAGTCGATTCTTATATTTAAGACTGTTTTAAGTGTTCTCTCTTAAGTCATGAACTAATCAACCGTGTTCAAATCTGTTTTGACTTTAAATCCGTCTTAGGTAATGTCTTAAAATGCTAATACGACTCTCTGATTGGTTCATGACATCGTAAGACATTGCAGTCTTGAAATAAGAACGGATTATGAATACCAACCTAAGAAATCCTTAAAAAGATAGGCGTGTAGAAAGTATTCGCGGACTAGTTAACTTTCGTTTTCGGCGAAACATTCCTCGCATTCGACCGTGGGGAACGTGGACAAAAAGCAAACGAAAAACGAGAAAGAGAGCGATAGAGAGAGAGAGAGGGGGGGGGAGGGGGGGACCGGCACACTGGAAGAACTCCGGAATAAAAATAAGAACATGGTAGTATACACGTGAAAGCCATTAAGTTGGATGTAACGGCGAGGAAAAAAATAGTAGCCCGTAGTCCGATTTAGTGCGCACCAACCGGTTTGCCATAGTTAACATACACGCGCGCACACATTCGCGCACATCTATCTAAGAACGGTGTGCGCCGCTGATGCAAGAAAGTTATTATCTAACCTTGACGCGACGCAATCCATGCGGTCCCCAAATTTCGTGAGTACATGTCACAGATACCTCGGAATCTGGTTGTTATCGTTGTGCCGACAGCGCGGTGACGCACGGCTGCACTATTTTTAGTCATGAACGCAATTGCGCGGAAGATATACTTTCAGGTAACATCGCGGCGAGACAAGAGCGAGATCGTGCATTTGAGTACAATTCCATTATGTATACTCTCTAAATCTGAATCAGTGATAATCACTAATTATCCAGTGGCATACTTAGCACTGATAATCAGTGAAGTTCAACTATAAAAAGAAAGAATGTTTGAGAGCATTATATAATTAAAATACTGACATTTGCACATTAATTTCAATCTTCCAATACCGTATTCATTGAATTTAAGCATTAAAACAAACAAGGTTAGATCACGTAATAAAGATTAGATTAGGTTAGGGATTTCATATTTAATTTACTGATTAGCAGTGGCATACTTGACACTGATATCAGTGATTATTCATTGATTCAGAATTTATAGTTCTATCAAATTCTAGTGGATCAGTCTTAATCTCGACTTATACTTTTTATTTCTCTTTAAATCTA